AACCCTTTGGATTGGCTAATCATTGACTCCCAGTTAGGATCTTAAAAGGGTACTCTTAGGAATATTATTTGTCTACAGTCCTCTTTCTCCTTTTGCCCCTTTTTTCTACATTCCCTCCTCCTGTCCTCCTCCCCCCTCCCCCAGAATCTTTTGAAATAATATATACAAAACCCGAAAAGAAACAAAAAACCTCAAGAATACCTTTGTAATATCTGTTACTTTATAGAACCTAGTATATCTGAGTGCACTTATTTTAAAATTTGTTTTTAAAGCAAATTTTTTTGACTGAAAAATCTTTCAGTCAAAGATTTAGGTAATTAGTCTTTCAGATAATCAGTAGAAAATATTTTCTTCCTTTTCTTGGTGTCCTAGATTTTTATTCTTCATTCTACATTATTCTTTTGATACCCTACCACTTAGATAGGGTTATCTCACCTATCAATAAAAAGTATTATTATTACTACAAAAACTTCAATTGGGTTTATTTTTTTAACTAAAGTCTATTTTATTCTAACTATTCAATTGATTAAATTTTATTACTTTCAGTTTAGAACATTTTCCTGTAGTGCTCTTAAAATTGTTACTTGAAACACAGTATTTCTAGAATGTGTCAATTTAAGTCTTTTAATTTCCACTTTGTATGTTTATTTGTTTGTTTTAGAGACAGGGTCTAACTCTAGCCCAGGTTGGCCTCAACACCATGCCTGGCTAGCTTTCACTTATTAAGCCCACTGTCTTTCTTTACAGGCCATTTTTGGGCTCCCAGAATATGTACTTTGTATTTATTCAACTCCTATCAAGTGGGTCTGCTTGGTTTGCCATAATCCTTATGGTTGTTACTTGTCTATTTCTTGATGTTGTGAAGAAGGTATTTGATCGACAACTCCATCCTACAAGTACTGAAAAGGCACAAGTAAGCACTTTTCATATTCAGTATCTTTTTAGTTAGGCGTTTTAGTGACAAATAACTATGATTATAATTTGCTTATGTCAGAAAATAAGAAATTATTACTATATCAACTATTTTGCTATAATACAAACATTGTTAAATTTAATGTTTTTAAAGTTTCTTACTTCTATTAATCTTAAGACTGCTGATAAGTTATAATTGTTTTAATTACATTATATTGTTAATAAAGCTCTAGGTTTTTAAATACCAAATTATCAGGATAGTTCAGATAATAATGGTATAACTATAGTAGATAACATTTTAAAATATGACAATATTACATCAGATTGATAACAACTACAATATATAGTCATGTCTTTAGAAACATTAGATTCTGAGTAATAATTTGCAAAATGGATTTTTATAAAATATATTCTGTCTAAACATTTATTAATAAATATTAAATTATAGCAAATATTAGCAGTATGTTACATAGTGCTTAAGAATGTAAAGTTTAGAGCCAGGTGCAGTGGCTCACACCTGTAACTCCAGATACTTGGGAAGTGGAGATCAGGAGACCCAGCTCAGGCAAAAATTTAGCAAGACCACCCTCACCCCCAATCTTCACAAAATAGCTGGTGCATATCAACATTTCTGTAGTATTTTCTTGCTTTTGTAATGTAATCCTTGCCAATATACATTTTGATACCATTGAAGTAGAATAGGCCTGTGAAGCCTGACAAACTTGAACTCAAATACTGTTTCAAACATTTATAAGATGTGTGTCCTTGATCAAGTCACTTTGCTAGGCCTCTGTTTCATCCTCTGTAAAATTGTTGTATTTATTACCTTACATAATTGTAAGAAATATGAGATAATGAGCTTGAAGCACCTAACACTCTGCCAGTTACATGGTAGTTTAAAACTGTTGCAGGGCACCAGGGGCTCACGCCTATAATCCTAACTGCTCAGGAGGCAGACGTCAGGAGGATTGCAGTTTGAAGCCAGCCCAGGCAAATAGTTTGTGAGATCCTCTCTCAAAAAAAACCATCATAAAAAAGGGGTGGTAGAGTGGTTCAAGGTATAGGCCCTGAGTTCAAGCCCCCAGTACCACAAAAAAAAAAAAAATTATTATATATATGATGAGGGTATTGCTTTGTGACACTGATTTCCAAATAGGGCTGAAAAATACATAATCTAATCACTCTGTCCACCTATGCACCTGTGCATATCAGAATGGACAGACTATTCCACTGTGCGATGTGTGACTTGAATCTGTATCAAAGAGGTTTGCATATCTCATTTCTAATCTTCAGAGAGAAACAATTATACTAAAAGTAGCATTTTTAATACATTGTCTATTATCTAGAACTTTATGAAGGACAATTTTTCTCCTTTTCTTGGCCCACCTAAAGTAGTATTTCTCAAGAATATATGAATGATATTACTTTTAAAAAGTAATTCTTTATAAAAATAAGTCAGATTTTTTACATTTATCCTAGGAAATTCTATGGCAGATTTAGTGTTTGCAAATTTTCATAGAGATTTCTTACTGATAAGTGACAGTGTTATTATTACTTTTTCTATAGCCTCTTGTTAAAGAATCACAGAGCAAATACTTGATACTTTAAACAAGAAAAATGTTAAAAGTACTTGTATATATCTTGGTTCTTTTAACATAATGTTAAAGTTGGTTAAAAATGGAATGTACACTGAATCAATTAATTTCTAAATTATTAACCAGATATTTTAGGTGGTCTTATTTAGGAAGGAAATCTCTTATTTTCTCTCAGGGATCTTAGAGCCTGCTGGGTGTTTTTCCTTCTCTTTTTTTTTTTTTTTTTTTATTGAAACAGTCTATAACACTCACATTCCATATGTGGCATTGTTCCTTTGCTACAGGAAGTAATTATTATTATTTAAGCCTCTACCAACACTTCTGATTTCAAATGATGGACAAATTGCTAGAAAGTTACCAACTACTTCATTATTTACAAAAACTAGCAAGAAAAATTCTATCAAAAGAAGATTTGTCAGCATTTATTCTGAGCTTTGTTTTTCTCCAGTTGAGTAAAGAATAAATGACAAAGCCAGCATCTTACAAAAGTCAGTCATGTATGTGTACCATGCATATTTCCTACTGTGGTGGGAACAGATGTTCAGTATTTACAAAGCTTGTCCTGTGTCTGTCTCCTAGGTGATGAATACAGCTCACTGACTTGTTGTGTGTCCATCCCTTTTCTGTCTACTTATAGATGTACTCCAACACTGTCGCTTTAAGTGATGAGTTCATCGCACTGCAGCCTTTGTCGAGGGCAAGGAATCAGCTGAGCAGACTTAGGTAGAGTAGGAGGGGCAGTACCTCATTAACTCTTCTGCATGCTAAAGGTCAATTAAACAATATCCAAAAGATGGGCAGAGGCATGAATGAAGAGTGGGGCATTTTTGTTAGCACAGCTCTGTCTCTGACTAATTTGACCTTTATAAACACATATGTTTAAACCTAAAAAACATATTTCTTCTTTGAGAAGAAAATTCAGATGAAAATTCAACATAATAAGAAGACAGAGATCTGTACTTTGTTATATATTTTTACACCTTAACTATCTTTTCTAGCACAATTCTAATGCTTCTGCTTGTCATATTCATATTTAAAATGCTTCTGCATGTTGAGTAACTAAAGCTACAGAAATTCATTATAAAATTTAAGACTTTAAGTTGTAGTTACTAGTGAGAGTTGCCCATTTTTTTTATCTTGCCTAAGTCTGTGTTGTAAATACATGTGTATTGTGTTTTTACACTATAATGGCTGCATAAGCATTTCATATCCTTGCTATTTAGTGCATTAATAAATTGAACAATATATTTTGTATATCTCTAATTTACCTTTATCTCCACAAATACCAGTTCTGTCAGTACATAGCTAGTAGGTTTGGAGATATCTTTTGATAGAAGGAAATGAAAGCTGAAATCCTAGAACTTTTAATAATAACATACCAAAATGATGTATTAAGTTTAGCTCCATTTAATTTTTAAAGAGAAAAGACAATATAACCAAAATATTTTTTTTAGTTTTGACACTTTTCAGTATTTAGATTTCTAATGATGTATACCTTTTAAATTCTTTTTTATTTTCAAAGCTTCTAATATGTCTATTTTCAACTTGATCAGATGAATAACTTTGACAAAACACCACTTGACCTTTTATGTAATAGTATGAGTTTATAATTTTTAAGATTTTACCAAACCTTTTGAGGATTTTATTATTAGCTTCAAGATATTTAAAAATATTGTACTTTGAATTGCAATAGTATAATAATTTATGAATTACAAAGTAATATACAAATGGGTGTTTAAACTAAATTTCATGTTTAAAACAAGAACTAAAATCAAGACAAATGTGAAGATAAGCTTTCGCTTTTGGTTGAGCCAAGTATGCATATCATGATTTTATCAGTAGATGATTCCCTGAAGACGGAGACTATTACATTTTTTGAACATCCAATTATTTAACTCTAAAGCAATAGGAGAGCTCATTATTTAAAAGAACACTTTGGCCAATTCTTCTGTCAAGTGAAGATCACTTTTATATTATGATTAATCATATTGTTAGGAAATCATATTTTCACCATATTGGCTTAAATCAACCTTTTGAACAATATTAAACCTAAAAAGAATGAGGAAAAAAGATCATCAAACAAAGAGATCCCGAGTGGTATAATATTGTAATAAATTGGTCAGCTTAACATCCATCTATGAAAGATCACAGTGAGAACAGAATAAATTGGTCAGGTAGCCTTCCTGCACCCACTCCCCACCCAGGTGGTCTCACAAAGGGAAGAGGGTGCTGTTCTACCAGCGGCCAACCTCAGTGCTAGTGCCACACTTGCTGATACTCCCAAAAAGTCCTAGCCAAACACACTCCCATCACGTTCTCCTTTCTAGGCCTCCAGGTTCTTCACTTATCCTTTCACATACTGAGGTCTGTTAAGCTACTTATCGTCATCAGCAAAGAAAAGCAAAAAAGAAAAGACACTGCTAAACAAAAACTCAGGCAGAAATAAGTTATTCACATAAGCAATGAGTTGCCAGTAGGTGGGTATTTGTTCATAGCTGCATGGAGAACAAATGACTACATCTCTGCTGATGCATCCTGTGAACTTTATACATCTTATTCTTAAACTGCTGAGAGATATTCCACTGGTGTGGTAGCTTAACTGTTTACTTTTGTGACAAAGGAATATTATATAGATATCAGATATCTTTAACAGCTTTCAAATCTTGAATTAGGTCAGTGTTTCTTAAGAATCTTTAGCATGAACTATTGACAATTTGAGTATTTCCCCCTCCCTTGTATTATAGTTTCTTCATAGAAACTTCCTGTACTCTTGAAACCGAGGAATTGTTTTATTTTTTAAAAGTATGTAAAATTGGTAGGAGGCCAGCCCCAGGCAAAAGACCTGATCCTGTCAGAAAAATAGCTAAAGCAAAAAAGGCCTGGAAATGTGCTTAAAGTGCTATAGCACCTGCCTAGAAAATGTAAGGCCTTGAGTTCAAACCCTAGTACCACTACTCCCACTGACATTTAAATTTATGTAAGAAATACACCATAGTACTTTTTATAGAAATAGTTATTCAAAGACTAGGAAAACACATAGCGATAAGGCAGTTTTATAAAAAGAACTGAAATTCATATAAATTAGTTTATCCTCACTAAAAATATACTTCAACTTAAAGATAAAATTAATTTTGTTGAGTAAGTCAAGTCAAGCCCCTTGTTCATATGTCTGATACTTGTAGGGCCATGTGACCTTCTGGTCTGCTGACATCCAGTTAGAGTAGCAAAGTCTCCTTAGATGGAAACATGAGTGGTGAGAAATTGGACATACCTTTGCAATAAAAACCCTCAATCTTGATGGCAATTCATTTATAGAAAAAATTGAATTTTATGAAAGGAAATTTGGTTTTTAACTAGGCTGAATGTTTAGTAAGAGCTTCGTGCACTGGGAAATCGTGGCTTTGTGTGCTTTGTCGTGTTCCTATTAAGAAGCCCTGTTTTGTGACAGTAAATGTGCTGTAGTATGAACATTCATTTGTGCCTCTCAGATTGTAGACCCAACTTATTGCTTTGATTCTAAACCTATATACTGTGAGATTATCATTCTGTAATATGAGACTTGTTGCTTTTCTGTCCTTCTAGATGGAAGAAGATAAGGGTTCAGTCAGCTCAGCATATGAATTTGCTGAAAGCCAGCACAGAGGGGAGGACAGTAGGCTCCTGCTAGCTGAGGCTTGCAGCCAGCAGGACAGTTGTTGCGTGCACTAGGTAGTACTGCACTGGGTCTTCTGGGGACTCGTCCGTTATGTTCTCGTGCATGGGGCATGCCATGGGAGAGCTGACCTGACATTTCCATTTTTACTGTTCTAATTCCTCACCCTTTGTCATTTTTGTTTTGATTTTGTTCTTTTCCCTTTTTTGTGTTCTTTATATATTTTTATATGTCTACGCCTGAATATTTTATTAATCTTTCTTTGGCGTTACAGTGATAAATCATACTTCACCTCAGATTATAGCCTAGTATAGAGGTTTTCTCACAACCTATTGTCTTACAGTCAAGAAATTGCTCCTCACTTCTCCATTTGAAAATGTCATGCTATATCTATTATTTCTAAAGTCATTTCCCCCTTTGCAGTTGTGTATCATTTTAGACATTTTAGTGTAGACTCTAAGTTGCTTATCTAAGTCTTCCTCTTGAACTAAATAATCAAATGAGATTTAATGAGTAATTTTCTACTGGATGGCATTTAACAAATTCTTTTTAAAAAATTGTCTTAGTATCTTTGTAGAAAATTAAGCAGCTTCCCATTACTATCATTATTAATTGGAAAGAATTCTGAATTTTAGCTGGGTGCTGGTGTCTTATACTTGCAATCCTAGTTACTTGGGAGGCTGAGACCAGGAGGATCAAGGTTCCAGGCCATCCCAGCTAAAAAAGTTTGCAAGACTCCATTTCAGTGGGAAAAAGCTGGATGTGGTGGTTTATGCCTGTCATCCCAACAATGGCAAGAAGCATAAAATTGGAGAACCACGAAACCCTAGCTCTAAAATAACCAGAGCAAAAAGAAGGGTGGAAGAGTGACTCAAGTGATAGAGTACTTGTCTAGCAAGCACAAAGCCCTGAGCTCAAACCCCAGTACCACTAAAGAAAAAAAAAGAATTCTGAATTTTTATTTTGTGTTTAGTATGTTTCTATATGATTATAGTTACAATATAGTTATCTTTTATTGTGCTTTGATATAGAAAGATTTTTAGCTTGTTAAATATGCCTTGATTGGGTTGCAGGAACAGCTTGCTGGGGAAAGAGTGGGAGCTAGCAAGGATTTGTTATGCCCCAGGTACTCTACGTGATTGCTAGGACTGGGAGATTATGTGTTCTGTGAAAGACGCTCCCTTAAGACTTGAGTTCAAGCCAATACTTCAGAAGACATGAGTCTGGTGCCCGTGTGCTTTAAGATGTTCATTCTGTTGAGAATCAGGTTCTTGGAATGCTCCTCTTAAGTGACAGGAGCCTCACTATGGTTACTTTTGCATAAGAATAAGTGGGTTTTCTCCCTTCTACCTCTAGCAACTTATCTTCTTCATTAAATTGGGGGAGCTTAATTTTTCATACATACTAATGTTCTTCCTTACGTAAACTATAAATTCCTGGTGATACACTGTTATATAACCAATTGAATAAGCACATCATTTAAATAAAGGGGTTTTGGTCCCCTTTACAATTTGCAGATGTTTTCTCTGAATTTATAACTTACCTTTCAAAGTGCCATCATTCTAAAGTTATTTGTTTTACTTAGGGGAAAGAGTAGAAAAAGGGGGCACTAGAGGACTGATGTGACCCCAAAGCATGTTCTAGAGAAAGAGGCTTCAAGTAAGATGTGCCAGCCATCCAGGTGCCATAGCTAACCTCTGGCTCCATGCCTGTTGATGAGGTGAAATGCTGACTTGTTTTAGAGATTTTATGATTCTAAACCAAATTTGCAAGTTAGCAATATTTGGTGACTGACTTTTTTTTTTTTAACATAAGAGACACAAGTTACTTTCACCATTTTATTTTTGTATACATATTTGCTTAAAGCAATGAATTTCTAGGCCAGGTTCAGGTAACTGAAGGGCCTTTATAAGTAGCTTATATTGCCTGGATCCAAGGTATGCTGCAAACATGGTCTGAAGTAAAATGGGAAATAACATCCTTCTAAAGACAGGCTTAGAAATTTTAATCCATAAATTAAGATGTTTCCTTTCTCTGGTAGCAGGGCTGATTGATATCTGTAAGAAAACACTGGCTGCTAGGCCACCATTCAGAGGCATAGCCAAAAGAACAGGGTACAGACCACCAAAAACAAAACCAACCAGTCCACTCCGTATCACAGTACAAGTTTCACAATTCAGATCACCTGTACTCAAAGGTGAACTTATAAAACCTTTGTAAGACACATTCACTGTCAAATATGGGATCACTGCCATTGGTAAACCAGAAGCTATACGAGCCTTTGTCACGTGCAAGACACGGTGAAAAAGACTGTTAGCTATTAGGCCACAGAAAGCAGCATTAAGTCCAACATATGTTGATCCATATTCAAGTAGATTCCTTTCTGCCTCTGGAAGTTGATTAATTTTTCTGGTTATGATATGAAAAATTAAGTTTTCCTTGATAGTATCATCTGGTTTATGATTTTCCATCTTGAGCATTAAAAAACCATGAAAACAACAATCTCAGGCTGCCCTTTTGGCGGCCGGCGCCTCCCCGGTTCTTGCTGTACAGCGCGGGACGCACTACCACCCCGGCTCCGCTCGCCCGGCCACCGCCATCTTGGCGGACACCTGACCCACTCGCCGGTGACTGACTTGTAAAAGAAAAACATTTCTGTAAAAACAAACCTTTTTTTTTTTTCCTTTTTTCTCGTAATTACAGTCTAAGACTTTTTTTCCAAATAATTTCTTTAAGGCTAGACACGGTACTTATATGGATGATCCAGTAAATAAAACAATTTTAAGGACAAAAGCCCTACTACAATTAATAGCTTGATAATTCTTATCTAAACTTTAAAAAAATTTTTTGTAAGATGCCCTTGGAGTTACAAAAAATTTTAAAATGTAAGACAGTTTTCTAACATTTATAAGATTTTTTTTTTTTCCTATGTCTCCCCATTCACAATACAGACCAGGCACAGGGCCTGGGCTGAGGTGTATATGGGATAGGTTTACTTTGCCTCCTCTTTCTATACAGTCAGTGTAAGAACACAGACTGTGGTAAGCACCAGGAGGCCCATTTATAAGATTTAAGAAAGATACTTGTTAAGCAACAAAAGAAACTTTTCATTATTTGTCGTTGTTGGTATGAAAACAATGAAAGTAAGAACCATGAGCCAGAAGTGATTCAGAAGGCAAGTTCTGGAACGAAGAACATTTTCATTAGCCATAGTTTTGTTGGATCTCTAAGTCTGTTCTGCCTAGCAGCCCTTCTCGCTCTAAATTTCATGTGGTTGTTCCTGGGAATAAAGGGTAGTGGTGAGTGAGGCTTACTAATAAATCAAAATGTCTGGTAAGTTCATAGCTGTTTCTTGTTGCCACCAGGTAGGATCTCACTCCATTGTTTTTTTTTTCTTTTCGATGTTTATAAGTAGTCCTCTCCCAAAATGCAAGGTTTCCTCTTTCCCTACTTTGAATGAAATACAACTAAATGCTCCATTCCATTCCTACCCTCCATTTATACTGATGGCTATGGCTTCAAATTCTATGGCTGAGCTCCTGTTTCCTGAGTACTGAGATCAAAGATAGGAATATTGGAAAATAGTAGCACTTGGAAGTTTGCTGGAGAACAGTATAGCAATTTCTGAAGATAACTTAATGGCATTCAGCATTTTCTGAACAGCTGGATTGTTTTGTTTTGTCTTTTCAGGGAAAAAAAGGGGAGCATAGTTTGTATCATTCAGAAGGTGATCTGAGAGGTCATTTCTTTACATTTTTTGTATTTCAACATGCTACTCTCCTTGCTTGGTTGTTCATATTTTAATATCTACCATTAAGTTTTACAGTGAAAAGTGATGAACACCAAGCAAGATAACTGCCTAAGATAGAGTCCAAACCTAGCAGCATTGTGCACATATATGGACAGTCAGGTGCTGGTGACATTGAGGATGTCATTTTCATGAATCCCTGTTGGTTGAATACCAGCTATGAGCAAAGCACGTATCATTAAGCTAAGAAGTTCCAAACAAGACCCTTTTCTCTAGTTTCTGGTCTAGTTCAGCACTACCCAAATAAATGTGCTAAAGGACTAGTTCGTTGTTTTCTTGTTTTTAATTTCCTGTCTCTCATGCAGTATAATACTTTTATGAATATAATAAAAAATGAATTATTGAGAAAATAAACTTTAAATAACTATAAAATAATCCCCCATTTTATTAGGTTAATTTTAAATTGAAATTGCTGTAAAACTTTCTAAACTTTTACTTTCACAGACCAGAAACATTTCATGGTCAGCAATACTACTGATAGATTAGCATTGAGCCAGAGATCATACTTTGAGTAACACTGGTCTTTTTGCAAGGGGGTAGAAGTAACAACTACTCCATACTCCTAGCCTAAGCTTGTTCTGAATACACCCCACACTTCTGCCCCCATACAGTTACTCATTCTTGTCCATCAGCCTGGAATATCCTTTCTCTTGTATCTCCAGTTATTGAAACCCACCCCCCTATCCTTCAAGGTATATTTCCAGTGCCATTTTTTTAAGTTAGATCCTTCATGCCCTTTGGGTGAAAGATCAATAGCTGGCTGGATGTGAGCTTTCCCTCTTTTCTGAGTAGTCTGTCGTATACTACAGTTTTTAAAAGGCAGGACAGTAAGTTTGAAGCTCTGGAACAGAAGAAGCCAAAATTCAAGGCCCATCTTGAATGAATGACTGAACAAATTCTTTTTTTTTTTTAAGTCACATTGCACAAATTCTTGACTTCTTTTTTCTCACTCTTCAAAATGGGCCTATTCCAAGACATAATTCATGAGAAACCTCTTTCTTAGTCTCTAGCATATACATAAGCACCTCATCAATTTAACTGCTATTTATGTGCTCTTGACTAGTCTTCTCTTCCTGTTTCTTTACCCTTTCCTCTGTACATTGAGGGCAGCACTGACTTCCCCTGTGAGCACTAGCCCAGTACTATGCTCACACACAATTGACTTTTAAGTGCTCATTCCATTTAAATGATGCTAACAAACTGTGGAATAGGACCTAGAGAAAGAGATTTCTCAGGGTTGGAGAGGTGTGGGGAGTTTCCTAGAGAGGATGAAATTTAAAGTGAATCTTGTTGTAGGGTTAGTATTCTGACCCTCTGGTTACAACCCTGACATATGCCCAGTTGGCTAATGTAAAGACTGCATGGGAAGAAGAGTAGGAAAGACAGCCTGCAGCCAAGTGTCAAGCTTTACCCTTTGAGCATGTGGGAGTGCTAGAATACTGGCTCCTACAGAGGGTGAATTTGAGATTGAGGGAAACCATAGACCAGGGACCCAAAGATGAAACTGGAAAACTGATGAAATTCTGTTACCTAAAAACCAGCACTTCCCTTGGGAAGTTTGGTTCCTTCCTCTGAAAATTAATGTTCTTTCTAGTGTTAGTTAATGCTTCCTGATGCATGGGGATTGGGTAGGCAATTACTAAAAAAAACAAGTTGAAGAATTAGGATATCTCAAGCTTCCCCATGGACAAAGACTGCATCCTGACTCATGATAGTCTTTTACTTTCAAAGACTGTTAGAACTTGGTTAGTTTTCCCAAACTTCATTGGCCATAGAACCCTTATTTTTTAATGAAATGTCTATAAACATCTCACAAAACACAGTTTAGAAAACAAGGATAGTTTAATAGAAGAACAAATAAGGTCTGGCTCTTTCTTAGTACTTAGCAGATCCTAGAACATTGGTTCAACCAGACAGTTGCTAAACAGGAGCCATGAGCTGCCTCTCGCTGCTTGGTATTGAGTAGGAACACTGCAAGCATGGGTCTTAGGACCTTGCCAGTACTTGCGTTCAAAATGCAAGGTTGTTTACATTCTGCCACATCTGTCTCTTCTGTCTGTTGTGTCTCCACAAATGTCATCTGTTGCCATGCCTCCACGCAATACATAGTGATTTCCAACCTTTGTGAAAGTGAACCTTCTACTGAATTTACTTTTGTTGTTCTCCTTCCTCTGTATTTTTGAAAGGTTTTTTTATGTGGGGTGTTTTATGTTTATTTATATTAATATATATAATATATATAAGTGAATTCAAAGAAATTTAGGAGCACTATTTACTACCAAAACCAGGGTTGGGATTCATTCAGCTATGTGGTCAGATCATTTTTTTCCCTTCATTTAAATAGTTTAAATTGTTAGTAGTGTGGAATTAAGTTATCTTGCCAGGATACTTACACCTGAGTCAATATAAATCTTACATATTTGAGAAATTAATTAAACTCTAAATCTTAACAGTACTACTTATTAACTTGTTTAATAAATTTTAATCCTTGTGCCACCAGCTCACTGTTAAACTGATTATGGGCATGGGTGGCACTTCACAGGTGTTTAGCAATTCATGGCAAATGATACATTTTCCAAAGATGATTATGGAGTAGATACTTGCAGAGTGCTTAGAAGTGGCACACAATAAATACTACATGAGGTGTTTGTTACTGTTGTTATTCTTAGTCCTATTGAAGACTAAGTGTAGGTCCTTTGTGGTCAGGTGTTTCCCAGTCTTCAAAGATAGTTTTTACTCAACTCCTCTCAATTGCTAGCCTTTTATTATCATTATTATTATTATTATCATTATTATTATTATTATTATTATTGCAGGAGCATTACACCTAAGCAAAAGCTCCAAGAAGAATCAGAATTCACTAAGTTTCTGAATGGTCAATTCAAACCAGTTTGACCATAATAAATTATTAAAATATTAAGATCCTAAATCTTGTGGATTCAAATGTCTTGCTACTTATTTTTTGTATACATTACTTTTGGTTTCAAAATGCTTATTTTAAAAATTTTTTTAGTGCTTTTTAGAAATAGAAATCTATAAATGAATAATTCTTTTTCTCCAACTCCTCCAGCTTACTGAAGCAAATTCAAGTATCAAGTGCTTGGACTCCATGTGCTGTTTCCCAGAAGGAGAAACAGCATGCATGTCTGTTGGAAGAATGCTGGAACGAGTTATAGGAAGATGTAGTCCCACCCACATCAGCAGGTGTGACGTTTCTCTAAGTAGCCTTTGCTGCAGATGGGTATCCTGTAAACTGCAATAAATCAGCAGCTGGTTTTACCAATGGAACAGGAAGTCTACTATTTATTAGCACTCTTTGATGGTAGATTTCACTTGTGGCTTTGGGGTGGGGTTCTTCCACTTATACAGGAAGACAAAGCATCTTTGAAGAGACTTCATACAATGAACAAAATACTGTTTTTTAGTCTTTCTAAAGTGTGGTGAATAGCACTGTGTATATGGTACTATCTCAGTTTGTATAACTTTCTTTTTTAAATTATATCTATGCTACTGTTTTATTTCCTACTGTTTTTTTCTGCTTTTTGTCTTTACAAAATAATTTTCACATGCAGTGAAGTCAAAAGTCTTTGCTTTTCTTATTCTTGCATATTTTCTAGTTATAGTCATTGAAAGTTAAACACAAAAGGCTATATTTCTGTTCCCTACCCCATCTTAAAGATGTCTGTAATGAAGTTTTGAAATGACTTGTAATTTTTTTTAAGTTTCTTTTACTTGGTACTTATCATTTGATGAAAAGTTTATAAGTTAGAACAGGATCTAACCTATTAACTGTAAATTATGGATCAGAAAAATCTTAGCATTTTTGTCCCCTCCCAAATCTGTTTCTTGATTGCATTTATCACATCTTGTTTTTGTGGATCAAAAAAAAAATACCACTTTTTTGGTAAATGCCATTTAAAATTAACTTAAAAAATGAAATGGATTCATTTCTTCATACATGCACATCATTATTTGGGGGAATAGAAATAGTTTTTTCTACACTTGGTGTTCTTCGGACAAATGATATCATATTCCCAAAATCAGAGCAGCAGTGCACCAGGTGTACATGAAGATTACACTGGGCACAGGAAGATATTGACTTCCATTGTCCCCAGTTGCCACATGAATATTGTCACTTTCTGCAAGTGCCATGTTTTGGAAAACCTTGGGAAGTACCCAGGAGCAAGGGTGGGAGAGGCACTATTCTTACCTACTGATAAAAGAAATTTTAACATTTAATTAGCTTTGTGTTTTGAAAAATTGTGAGTATGATTATCATTTGCATATTGGAAAATTCAGATAGCTTTCACTGGTGAACCTGTTCATTCTCAACTCACTTTATCTTTCACTATACCATGTCTTTGTGGTAAAGTTGAATTGGTATGTAGCATTTCTGTTAATATAATGCTGAAGGTTTCAGTCCCCATTTATTCTGACTCGATTATAATGTGATCCAAAATATTTCCATAATGCTATAATGCCATTTTACAGTAATTCCATCCTATATAAAAGGATTATTATGAGTAGTTCAATTTATTGTGACTATGTTTTATCTTACAAATCTGTCATATACCTAGGCTAATGAATTTCACAAAAGATGTTCCAGAAATATCTAATTTATACTGTTATTTTACCTAATAACATGGCTTTACTGCACAGAACCAAGATTAGAGTTAGACCAAGATACTACAATAGAACTTCTGCATAATTTTAAATTTTCTATTTCAGCAGAAATTCCTCTTTGGCAATCTGCATCTTTGCTGTTGATTTTTTTTTAAATCCTAGAATTTTAAATGAGCCAAAAAAAATTCTGCTTTCTCCATAAATCCATTTCCTTGATAACAATTGTGTGGGTACTATGCCCCCTTTATTCTTTGCACAGCCATTTTCTCCTTCGTTGCCCCTTCTAAACTTGCCCCAGGGGTTATTGGATTTATTTTGACATGTTCTTCTAAAGGTGGCTGTTACCACCTGTACTTCTATTCACTCAGATTTCTAAGGTTTTTTCTAATAAAATATTTAACTTAGTAGAAATTAATACCATATTTGATGGACTATAAATACCTTTCCATTGTTCCAACATCTCAGATCATATTATTAGTTACTATGGTCATTTTCTCCTTTTTCCTCAGCTGATTTTTTTCCTAGGGGATAAAATCACATAATACCCAGAAGTGCTTGGTGCTTTTCAAAGGGCTTTATGAAAATTGCCATAGGTCCATCAACATTGTATTTAAATTTTAATAGCCATTTTGATATGTAGTCTTTTTCTCTACATATAATTATATTTGTGAAATATACTTGGCATTTCCATTTTGATTTTGGAACAGCCTTTATTCTACGTTTCACATCTAATTTAAAGAATAGGGCAAAGTTAAGAGACCTCCACTACAAGGTCTAGAAGCCTGTCCTACTTACTCCATTGACATATTAAACATAATAGTAATGGTGGTCACTTGAGAAACACAGCAGTGCTTACATATGACAAGATTTCTCTGCTGATTAAATTCTTACCATCCAGGCACAAACATTTTATTTACATTGTATTAACTGATATTGTCAAAGAAGTATGCCATATTGTAATCTGAGTTTCCAAGGGAGCATCATGGTACTGTATAAAGGATATGCCATGTTGTACCCTAAGAGATATATTTCAGCAGTGAACACTTCGCTATATATATTTTACTAGTAGTTACTTTATCCTAATCAAAATGACCTTTTAAATAGAAAGGAGCTGGGCTTAGGATGTGGTACTACCTGCCTAATAAGTGTGAGGCCCTGAGTTCAAACTCCTAATACAGAAAGGAGTTAAGCTGGGCACAGGCCTGTAATCCCAGCCCTGGAATTTTGAGACAGAAGGATAACAAGTTCGATACCAGTCTGGGCTACTTAGTCGAGACCCTGTCTCAAAATAAAAAGGGCTTGGGAGTGCAGCTAATAGAGCCTTTGCTTAGCTAACATGTGTGAAGCCATAGAAAAGAAGGGAAGGAGGAGTAGCTAACACATACTTCAAGTGTTTAATATTCTGTCAAAGGTGATATTTAAGGTTGATTTTTTTTAAATAAAGGAAACCTTACCTGGTAAGATTTCTTCTATGTAAGCAGTGGTTGGAAAGATGAAAAATATAATATATTGGCACTTTGGAATTGGACATTGACTCCCAGATCATGTTCTTATTTTCATTCATTTTTTCTGCAAATGCCAGCACCTAATATGTGATAGACACAGATGTAAGTGCTAGAGAGAGTGGTGAATGAGCTCTTCCTTACACTAAGGTGGATGCTGCTCAGTACTTTTCTGTAAACCCGTGAAATTGGAAAATGGATGCAATTGCTGTTTGTTTTCTGTTCACTGAAATTCATAAAATTTTGAGATTCCAACCATCTTAGAACTGTGCTCATTTAATTGATTCAAGCTTGAGCTGCATATAGACTCTAGGACACAAGATATTTGATGAAGGTAAATTGGAACCATTTTCAATACTAATTTCTTCCTCTTACATCCCTGTTTAGAGAAAGTAGGAACCCTGGCAAAAGTTATATAAAGTAGATTGATTGTTAAGTGCTTTTAGTTTCATGAGAACGCCATCCTTTACTTGGTAACTCTAATACTGTGTTTAAGCTAGGATAATCTGTTTTAAGCAGAGCAGGCTGCTTTTGGTCTTAAATTATTTTAACTTAAATTAACTCAAGCTAATTTAAGTTTTCAGCTACAAGTAAATATTATGTGTTGAAATGCTTACAGACCTTATCACTCAGATAGTAGTAACTTTTCCAGACCAGAAAAGAATCATTTTTTCTTTATTAAGTGAAAATGCAAGTGTCTTGCAAGTGTCTGACCCCTTTGAAGTAAATCATTTACAACATTCATCCTAGTTAGACTGAAATCTTTAGAGTAGAATGAATACCTGAAAAGTGTTCATTTGTTCCAAGGCTTTTGGTAAGTAGGAATTTTGTTTTTGTTTTTTTTGTGATGTCAGAATACTGCCTACTTGTTTTTCAGTTAAACAATGTGCATAATTCTTAATAACTTAAATGCCTGTTGAATTATTAAGATTTTAAAAGCATCTCACCTTGACTACCTATAAAAGGTATTTTAATGCTAATGAATATCTAAATTTTGGCTTGTATCTTTATATGACTTGAGCATTTTCCCCAAGTTTTTGTATAATATAAATAGTTTGGACATTCAGTGGTAGTTCAAAAAATTCTTTAGTATTTAAAAATGAATCAATCAGTGATTATTTTAAAACAAATTGCATTTTGGTCCTAAGTTTTAGAGTCAGTTTTTTTTCTCAGTTAAAACACAGGCCTTGGTGAGCCAAACTTTTCTCTTATTGTTGCTTTAGATCATGGAGTGCATCGGATCCTTTCTATACCAACGACAGGAGCATCTTGACCCTCTCCACAATGGACTCATCTGCTTGTTAAAGGGGCTATAGTACTTTGTGGGAGTGATTTCACCTCCTTTCCTCAGATTTGGGGTGGTCATCCTGTAACTGGCCACTCTAGCTCTGAAATTACTTCTGGCATCTCTAACTTATTTCATGCCCACTCAGAGTTACAGTGGCAGACAAACAGAAACATTAACATGAACTCCTTCTTTCCCCTTAATTTGAATCTGAACTTGTTAAAATTTGTGAATAAAGAGATATTTTTAATCTGTCTGGGTTGTCCCTTTTGCTAATGGGACTCCTAATGGCATTTCAGCCTGTTGCTGAGGCCACTATATTTTAATATTAAGGTAGAAAAAGAGATAACTCTTAGTTATGTGTATTTTTTAGGATTAGCTGGGTTATGCAATCCTCTGTTTAAACCTGCATCTGTAAATTATGCTGAAGGTTTGCCTTGAAAACTTTATTTTTTTATTAGAATTATATTTGAAGCTTTTCCTTGGAAAAGTTAATGTGAATATTAAGGAATTTTGGTCCCTCGGTGACCTGAGTTGTTAATTCGTTAGTGCTTTTTAAGTTCACAGAGCAAATTAGGAGAATGCATTTCCAACCATTATTTACTGCATAGTAGGTAGTAAATTTATACTGATGCCAAATTTCTCTAAATATACTGTAACACAACCAGTGAAGTTAACCATATAAATGCAAAGGGAATAGCATATCTTATATTCAAATCAGAAATCAGGTCCATTCACCAATTTGCAAATTAATGAGTTTACTAATATTTTTGTGACCAAATATGGAGAACCCATAGTGAATAAATTAGATAGCATTATCATAATTTAATGTCTGTTACCATTGGATCTTTTGCATGCTTTAACCTGGATAATTAAATTTCCTTTTTTTCTCTCCTTATCCAAAGGCTCTGTTTATAGTTATTTTGTGATGATGTTGTAAAGTTCAACTATATCAATAAAAAACCAAGTTTGGACAGTATTTAAATATTGCAAATACTTTTAATTATACAAATCAATGTATGACTAATTCAGTGAAAACAGGAATGCCTCTTTCTATGGCCAATTGAGAATTGTTCTTGCCTTTCTATAAGCTGAACTTTAGAATAAAAGATTTTTCTTAAGAATCTTGCTGTTTCTAGTTTAATACATGTTACCTAAGTTACAGCAGACCACCATAGTAAAGTGAATTCTGCCAGTGGCCCCCTTGTAAGGTATGTTGTCATGTGTGGCTATGGAAAGAAAATGAAACAAATTATAAGATGCAAAAGGTTTATTGGCAAAAAGAATTTTAGCAGCAGTAAATTAGAATACTAAGAATGATTAATCAAACTCATTGCACTCAAAACATCTCCAACCCAAATTTACCATATAGATTCAGCATCGTTTTAAGATTTGTAAGTAATTATTAGTTTAAAAACTTACCTAGCTGTAAGCATGTAATACATATGCATATAAAATGATAAGAAAATGGTTAAATGAGGTTTTGCCAGATGTTCCCTTGAGAATAGTAATTCCTTCACAATTAATTGTTAAACTGTCCATTCTTTTCCCATTTCATGAATAGAAGATGTCTGGGCTTGGACTGGTATGGAAAGAGTGGCAGAAGAGAATTAAGACTTTACCCTTGTTTGCTAGTAAATACTTGCTTGTCTCTTTCAATAATGCAAGGCTGGTAGGTTACCCATCTCATAAATAGTCCTTCAACTTTGATACTCCAAAGTTAGGTTTAGGAAGCTCTGTTATTTTGGAAATACATTATACAATGTGTAATAAATACACTCACCTATTCATGTTCCAGAGATGAAATATTCAGTAGAATAGTTTAGTGGAGTATATAAAATTTTTTTCCTTCTTAAAAGTCAAGTTAACAAACATGCATATTAACAAAATGATATTCAGTAGGCCTACAAGACATCTACCTTACAGTGTTATGTGTACCATCAAATAAACTGACTACTGACAAAGGACTGCAAAAGCATTAAGTAGTCCCTGATCCATTGTAGCAAAACAGGAAGTCAGCCAGCCTAGGTGGGCCTATAACGTGACTTACTATAATTTTCTGCATTCATCATTTGCAGTTAAAGAGTTTTTTATTTTGTTTTGGTGGTGCAAAAGATCAAACTCAGGGCTTCATGTAAGCAGATATTCTATCACTGAGCTACATCTCCAGCACTTCATTTTTTTTACAAAAAAAAAAAGTTTTTGAATAAGTAGGGCCAGTGAGTAGCTAAGTGTAGAACACTTACCTAGCATGGATGAGGCCCTAGGTTCCATCCTCACACCTCAAAAAATAAGCAACATCTATTGAGTTGCTCACCCTGCTTTGCTGTTTAAAACACACTCCATTTTTTGAGGAATACTGTCTTGTAATTTTAAGAAAAGGGTTTCCTTATATTTATTTAAGAAAGTAATAATGCAGTCAACAGTTTTCTAGTTCTGATATTCATATTGTAAACCTTTACTACATAAACACTAATTACAGAAAAGTTTCCCATTGGCCTATTTCTTTCAAATTCTTCAGAAACTCCGATATTGGTAATGAACTTACTGTAATCTGCAGAACCAGAGTAAAATGCTAAATGTGTTACTGCTTAGTTAACTAATGGTCTCAAATCTCTTCGCCCCACATGCTTGCCTTTGCGTCAGCTAAAGAGTTGTAGGCCTGAGATAATGACAAGCAGCAAGTTAGTTTCCACAGTTGCCGGTCAGCAGCTTCAGGTGCCTCAGCAGGCTGCCAGACAGAGTAGAGTGTGGGCCAGCGAGAACAACAGCTACCAGGCTTGCTCTGAGCCTGAGGAGAGAGGGCAGAGCTAGTGGTCTCCTTTGCTCCAACTCCTCCTTCGGTCCAAAGCTTCGGGGTGTATAAAGGCCTTCCGAACTGACCCGCAGCCTGGCACTGGCCTGAGAAGGAGATTAAACAGGGAAGTCACCCTCTTGGAAACACCTGCATTCAGCCCTCTTTCTAGGACCGAGACTGAGGCTTCTCTGCTGCACAAGATTGTGGAACTGAACTTGTCTGAGAAGTTTAAGACTCCTGGTAGGAGTCAAGAGCACCAAAAAATTTACAGTTAAGAGCAGAAAGTGTTCAAAATGTGCTACTCTGAAGACCTCATGGAGGCTGGAAGGCAAGGAGGATCTTCCACGCTGTTTTCCCTATAAAAATCAACTTGTAGTTTGATATAAGCAGGTTTTAATAAAACTAACAAGCCAAACAGTTTTGTGTAAGACATACATGTTTTATTAATTTTTGTCCTTTGTAGACATTTTTATTTCTATCTTAAAATGAGTCACCTATTTTCATAAAAATACAATATTAAATGTTTAGTGTGAAATAATTTTAATGATTTTTCCAACAAAAAAATCATAATGATGTTTATAATAATGGTGATTGTTAGATTTTTATGAGGAGTGAGTACCTGGAAATTCTGTATCAATATTTAGTTTAAAATTTTGGAGCTCAGACACTGTGGCTATCTATAATGTAATCCTTTAAAATCTATGTTGTCCATAATTAGAGCATCTTTAGTATCCTCATTGTATAGCTCTCGGTAATTTTATAAAGTTTATCAAATTATATTTATCAAATAAAAATTTTCCTATTTAATTGAAAGTGTTTCTCATTATTTTAGCATTTTAAGTTCCTTTCTGCCCATCATTACCAGCAAAATAAACTTGTCTTCAGTTAGACTTTACTATACTCATCCCCCATGATAGTGCAGAAATATCCTTTAAAGCTTTCACTAGCTGTATTTTTTTAATATACAAGCTTTTTGAATTCCCAAGCCTTATTAAGTCATCAGTACAGCTCCTAAAAAAAGGTCTGAGCAATGCACCAACTATAAAGAGAAACACACTCCAGCTAGAAATGGCACCATTCATGAAAGCAGCCAGGACCACATGTGAGTTGGGAAATGCCCTGTGAACAGCACATGTGCTTTTAAAGAAATGAACCCTCCTAGTTAAAGTGTTCCATTTCCTAGAGCACACATAATTTTTGGTTTGGTTTGGTTTTTGGTGGGATGGGACTTGAACTCAGGGCTTCACACTTGCAAAGCAGGCCGCTTGAGCCACACTCCAACCCATTTTGCTCTGGTTATATTGGAAATGGGGTCTCGATAACTATTCACCCAGGCTGCCCTGGAACCCCCATCCTCCTGTCTTAGCTTCACAAATAGGTAAGATTATAGGTGTGAACCACTGGTGCATGTATTTTTAATAGTTAAGATAGTATCTCTGCCCCCTTGTTAGTATTTGCAAAAGATGAAATGCACGAGTTATGTAAATATAATACAGTTCTGGACAAATAATTTTATCTAGACATCTGTTTTTGCCATTGCTTTTCATACAAGGTCTTGCTGTTGCCCAGTCTGACCTCATATTCTTAATCCCCTTGCCTCAGCCTCCCAAATGCTGGGATTACAGATGAGGCCACCAGACCTTGTTGGGCAACTACTTTTTATATTTAAAAGGAATTGAGCTCCAAATGGTGGTGCACACCTTTAATCCCAGCACTCAGAAGGCTGGGGGAAGAGAATCATCAGATTGAGGCCAGCCTGGGCTACTTATCAGGACCCTGCCAAAAAATTAAAAAATAAAGTTGAGTATTTGGACTATCATTAGGGTGATTTCTGGGTGACTTTTTAAACAAATAGACTATGACAAATCTTGCTCATACTGAAGAAGAAATTAAGGATGAAAAAGTTATTTGTGAGGATCATTGAACAGCTGACTCAAAGGCCAAGACTGGTGTAAATGGAGACAAACTACCACACCTGTGTGAGCAGCTTTTTGTAAGTGGCAGAGAGCCTAAGTCAGATTTTTGAATACTAGTATTTTAAGGTAAAATAGTTTGTATTCAGAATGATTTGTGCTCAGTAAAGTGTATAGTTTTAGGATTGCAGTTTATGGGCTGGTGGTGTGGCTCAGGTGGTAGAGCACCTGCCTAGCAAGTGTGAGACCCTGAGTTCAAACCCTGGTACTGTCTAAAAATAAAAAGAAACATTACAGTTCAGTTTCTTTATTGTTAGTTTTTTAAGGCAGGGTCTTGCTTTGTAGTCCAGGCTGGCCTTAAATTTGAAATCCTCCTGCCTTAGCCTTCCCCTGTTCTGGGATTATAGGTATGCAACACCATGACCAGCCTGCAATTCACCTCTGACAAAATTATGTGCCTCTGTAAGCCCTTACCCTGATCCAGAAAAAACCCTTCCAACATCTCAGGTTTTCTAGTGCCTCTTTCCAGTGAATCCATTTTTCTGATTTCTACTGTCCAAGATTAATTTTGCCTGTTCTTGAATTTTGAATAAGTGAAATGTAGTTGCATGGTCTACACTTTTTTTTTTTTTTGACAGTATGGGAATTTGGACTCGGGCCTTGTGCTTGCCAGACAGGTGCTGTACCACTTGAGCCCCACCCTGAGCCCAGTGTTCACTTCTGTGTCTGCTTTGTGCTAACATGTCAGATTTATCCTTGCTGTTGTGTGCATGCAGTTAGTTTTTGCTCTGCAGGAGGGTTTCCTTGCATGAAGGCACCACAACTTCTTCACCCTTTCTCTGCTTCATAGGCCTGTGGGCTATTTAGAGTGTGGCTATTGTAAATAAAAGTTTGGACATGCTTTGAAGCCACATTGATTAATAACTAGGAGTAGAATTGCTGTATCGTGGGGTAGATTTTTATAAGAAAGTAGTTGTGTGTGCCGCTATACATATCCTCCAGCAGTGCACATCTGTAATTCCAGCTGCATGAGAGGCAGAGGTAGGACATCATGATCTGAGACCAGCCTGGGCAAAATGCAAGACCCTATCTAAAAACAAACTAATCTTCAAAGGGCTGGAGGCATGGCTCAAGTGGTAGGGTGCCCACCTAAAAAGCACAAAGCCTGAGTTCAAAACCAGTACTTCCCCTCCCCGCCCAAAAAAAGTTCACTAGATATGTTTATTGATAGCATTTTTCCCCAATTTGGACGTGTCTTTTTATTTTCTTAATGATCACTTTCACTTAATGGTCACTTCAGTGAAGTCTAGTTCTGGCTTTGGTTTTGGTTTTCCTTTTAGTGTTTTTCCTGACTTCTAAAAAATTCCTTGTCACTCCCAAGGTCATGAAATATTTTCTTATGTTTTCTTCTGAGAGCAGTGTAATCTTAACCTTCACATGTAGGTCTATGATCATCTCAGATTGATTTATGTGGACGGTGTGAGGCGAGGATTACGGATTTTCCTCAACCCCTCACAAGGTCATGCATTTGGTTTAGCTCCATTTGTTGAAAATACTCTGTTGAATTGGTTTGGTGCTTCTTTTTAAATTAGATGATTATAAATGGGGGTCTCTTTTTTGGACTCTCCCTGTTCATTTATCTACACGAGTAGCACACTACCTTGCTTGCTATAGCATTATAGTTTGAAGTCAGGTAGTGTTGTTCCTCCTACTTTGTCATCAAGATTCTTTTACCTGTTCTAAGTCCTTTGAATTTCTTTATAAATTTTGGAATCAACTAATTTTTTTGGCTAATCAGTTTTAAAAGTACTGATGTGGTTTTGATTTGCATTTCTCTGAATCTAGAGATCATTTTGGAAAAAAAATCACATCATCTTTAAAATATCCAGTCTTCCCAATCCGTGAGTATAGTGTCTTTCTCCATTTATTTAGGTCTTTAATTTCAGCAGTTTTACAATTTTTAGTATAAATATGGCAAGTCCTTTGTTAAATTCCTAAGTTTTTCATTATGGTTTTTGATGCTATATTAAGTGGATTTTTAAACTCATTTTCTAATTATTCTTTACTGGAACACAAAAAACATGCATTTTTATATTTCTGACTTTGTATTCTACAACCTTGCTAAATTCACTCATTTTTCCTGGGTGGCTTCTTTCCTTTTGTATGTAGTCTTTTGGATTTTCACTTGCACATGTGAAAATAAAAAGGTTTAATTTTTTCCTTTCCAAGCCTGGGCGAAGCCTTATGCATGACTAGGCAAGGGAGCGCTTGCACTGAGCTACGCCCCCAACTTGCTTCTGTTCCTTATCACCCTGTCACACTGGGCCAGAGCTTCTGGCACAGTGGTAAACAGGCATGCTGACAAGTCAAACTTCACTAGTTTTGAAGGAGACATTCAACCGCAGCGTTTGTTAAAATAGTAGACCCTTGGTAGGGGAGGATCTGTGGTTCCAAGGAGCCCGCCATTGAAGAAACCAGAAATGAGAGGCTGCAGTTACAGTGCTGTACTGCGCATGCTTGATTCAGTTTTTCCCTGTCGTCCACCTTCAGCTAAAGACATAATTCCTTTCAACAAATCTCAAATTTGCACTTTTACCACTTCAAGGAAGCACACGTGTGCACTTTCTGACTTGGAAGGATTACCATACTTTTCCCTTGCTGTTTAGAAGGTACAGTTTTACAAAATTAAGGTTAGGGAAACACTCAGCAGGTCACGCAGCAATTTAAACACAACTGAGGACAACGCGGGACTCACCAAGAGCTTCTTCCCATCAGCTGAGCTGCGGAAATGCACGCGCGGGAAGTGAAATTTTTTTTGAAGTTTCTTTTGATTTTTTTAATAAATTTTTATTAGAATATGTTCATTATGGGGGGGTGTTTTTTTAATTTTTGACAACATCAAAACCACATGAAATAAATCTGTAAATAAGACTGTATTGGTTCCCTTCTCCCGTATTTTTTTGGAAGATTTTATAGTAAGGATGGTATTTTAATATTTTGAAGAATTCTCCACTGAAGTCCTCGGGGCCTAGAGTTTGTGGGGAAGTCATATTACAAATTCAATTTCTTTTTTTTCCAGTACTGGGGATCAAACCCAGGGCCTCATTCATGTCAGGCAAACACTTCAACCACTGAGTTACATCCCCAGCCCAAAATTCAATTTCTGAAGTAGATAACGAGCTATTCAAATTTTCTATTTCTTATGTCAAATTTGTTATGTTGTACGCCATTCTGCCCCCCCCCCCCACACACACACATAAACCCTTCACTGGGATTGAACCAAAGGCTTTGTACGTACCAGACAAGTGCTCTACCATTGAGCTACTTCTGCGGACATTATTTAAATTATTTTATTTTGAGATAGGGTTTTTACTAAGTTGTCTGGGCTGGCCTGGAACTTAGTCTTCCTGCCTTAACCTCTCAAATAGCTGGGATTACAGTCAGTGCATCACCAAGCCTCGAGCAAGTTGTATCTTTTAATAGAGTTTGTCCACTTCAGGCAATTGTACTCTTGACATAAACTCAAAGTATTCTGATGGTTCTTATGATGACACATCTGTACTAATGTTTCTGCTTTTTTGACATCAGTAGTTTTGCTTTCCTTTTTCCCTGACCAATCTGCTAGGGTCTTTGTTTTCTATTTTTTTTTTAGGATATATTTATTGTGTTTGTTACTGAAACAGGGTCTGGCTATGTTAGCCCAGGCTAACTCATGATCCTCCTGCCTCAGCCTCCTGAGTGCTAGGATCACAGGTATGCCCCATCACACCTGGCTTGATCATTTTAATTTTTAAAAATCAACTTTTGGCTGTTAGTTTTATTACTTTCTATTCTTATTGCCTACTCTTTATTATTCCACTTGGCATCTATTTGCCCTTTATTACTTTTTTGAAGCTTAAATGATTTTGAGCCTTGTTAATAAAAGCATTT